ATGGGTTACTGAAGATCAATTCTAACAGAGATCTTCAGGGGTCCATTTCAGCCATATATCCTGGTATTAAAGAGGGGCTGTGGGGAAGCCTAGTGGTTAAAGCGTTGGCTCGTCACGCCGAAGACCCGGGTTCGATTCCCCACATGGGCACATTGTGTTAAGCCCATTTCTGGTGTCCCCCGCTGTGATATTGCTGGAATATTGCTAAAAGCGGCGTAAAACTAAACTCAGTCAGTCAGTGGTATTAAAGAACAAACAAATAGTAGAAGTAGTTTTATTTCCACAGTATATTAACATCTGATATACAAGAAATATTATTATATAAATCACAACATAAGTTATAAATGCTTAAAAATATTTTGTAATCAGTGAATAAAAACATTTAACCTCACATCTGCAATATTTCATCCATATTATGACAAGTATTTTACAACCATCATTACAAAACAAGAATGAAACATACTGCAACCTAAATTTAAACACATCCTGATCATACTTGGAATGATTATCCTAAAAAGTATTCAGTCACATAAAGTGTTTCCCCAGGATCACAGAAGGTCAGGGCGACAGAATTTCAAAAGGGGGACCCTTATTCCAAAAGGAGCAGGCAATGACAGATACCCGAATATTATGTAAATTTATTCATGCAGTGATTCTTTAAGACTCAAAGAGGACATAACTTCAACATAAAATAGAAACTAAAAACCACCAAGTGTTAATATCAATTATTATATTAAAACAAGGTCAGGGCGCCAAATAAAAACGCAGGGTGAGAAGAAGAAAGGGCAGGGTGCCAAATAAATATGGCAGCGTGAGAAACAAAGGTGGCAAGGGGCCTAATAAAAAGTGCAGGGGGCAAAATGAAAAGGATCACTGCGCTTTGTTAAAAATGCCCAGGGGAAACACTAATAAACAATCCGACAAAATAGGTCTGCATAAATATAATAGTCTGCATCGGGTGAACTTTATGATCAACACAATAATGTCAAGACTTCTAAATTCTCACTTTGAGAGAGCATTCAGACCAGCATATAAAAAACAAAGTAAATATATCCAGTCCGGAATAATGCAGTAATATGTTTATGGATGCTCACATCTTCACCAAGCACCTGCCATCTGTAACTCAAAGGAATAGTTGAGTCATGTGTGGGTAGTCTTTTGTAAAGATGATTCCTGATTTCTGAGGTAAAACAATGAAGTGACATCAGATGGCGAAAATCCCAAACATCCTTCATATAGACTGGGTGGTCAAAGTTTCACCAGCCTTGACCTTGAATCAGGCAGGTCAAAATATTACGGCTGGTTGGTTTGGTTGGTTGAATGGTTGGTTGTTGTTTAATGCTGCACTCAGCAATATTCCAGCTATATGGCGGCGGTCTGTAAACAATCCAGTCTGGACCAGACAATGCTTTTATAAAAAGCATGAGCATCGATCTACGCAATTGGGAACCGATGACATGTGTCAACCAATTCAGCGAGCCTGTCCACCCAACCCCGTTAGTCGCCTCCTTGACAAGCATGGGTAACTGAAGATCAATTCTAACCCGGACCGTCACAGATAGACAAGCATGTGAAGTTTCAGTGAGTGAGTTTAGTTTTACGCCACACTTAGAAATATTCCAGCTATATGGCGTCGGGTATCTGTAAATAATCGAGTCTAGACCAGACAATCCAGTGATCAACATCATGAGCATGATTCTACATAATTGGGATACAATGAAAAGTGTCAACCAAGTCAGCTAGCCTGACCACACAACCCCTCTTTGACAAGCATGGGCTACTGAAGATCAATTCTAACCCGGATCTTCACAGGTAGACAAGCATGTTAAGTTTCAGATTTATTGGTACGGACGTTTCTGAAGGAGTGTTTGCAGATCATGAGGACACGCAGGTCACATGATGATCCCCAATTGCATAGAAAGATGCTCATGACATTGATCACTGGATTGTCTGGTCCAGACTCGATTATTTACAGACCGCCACCATATAGCTGGAATATTGCTGAGAGTGGCATAAAACTAAACTCACGTTTAAACAACAAACCAACCAGCCACATGATGATCAGTCAAGTGAGCCAAACATCTAAACAATATGATCCATCTTTCTAACTGACAAATTAAAATGGTTACAGTGCACTCTATTATGCCAGCTATGCAACTGCTGTCAAAAAACATTGACCACCTTTTCAGGTTTGCATAAACAAAATTAACACGTAAAATAACTTTTAATAATAATAGTTTGATAATAGGATTGATGAGATCATACAGTGCTGAAGTATCACAAAACCATAAAATAATGCTGTGACATCATTGTTTAAGAAACCTTGTACTTCAACAATTCATATTTCTGGAAAGCAACAAGAAATCTTTCGCAACATGGGAAAACATACACATCATGTGTGATACATTCAACTGTATGTTCATCTAGGATTCTGGGGCGGTGGGGTAGCCTAATGGTTAAAGCGTTGGCTCGTCACGCCGAAGACCCGGGTTCGAATCCCCACATGGGTACAATGTGTGAAGCCCATTTCTGGTGTCCCCCGCCGTGATGTTGCTGGAATATTGCTAAAAGCGGCGTAAAACCAAACTCAGTCAGTCAGTCAGTCATCTAGGATTCTTGTCAGTATCACTTGATAGACCTAAAATATATGTTAAAAGAATCAAAAGTCAATGCATAAAAAAATTCATACTTACAGACTTCCAAAATATTCATATGCATTGTATATACTGGTTTAATGAGATAAGGTCCTGATAAGGTCCTGAAGATGGGATTTTGCATATAATGTGCAAAATAAATCTGAACCCAATCCACTTACAAACAACATTTGTAGAACAAAACCATTACTAAGCGTGTATGCGGGCATCACATGTACAAAATGTTTGCTGCAGTAAGGGATCGTTCATAATTTATTGCTGGAGGGTTGGGGTGAGGGGGATGATGATGTACAGAGTAAGTGATCTGCATGTCATGAACAAAGCCAGTGACCCCACCCCACTCGCGACCCCTAACCTTCCCATAAATTTTAAGCATGCACAAAATTGTTGCCCCACCCACCCCTAGTACATCTGTACAAAATTGATGACCCCCCTACCTCCCCAGAATAACATGGGTGACCCCCCTATAAATCATTATCAACCCCCGGACATAAATTATGAATGGTCCCTAATTATGTACGAGTATATTTTCAAAAAGCATGTTTTGTAGGCTGTCTGCATCCATACATTTTACAGTGAGCCTTCATAACACACTTCTTTACACTATGGCTTAATTTCATCATGAACCGGTAAGTCAGTTGTGTGATATTTCATGGAATGTACTTGAATACCGAATACCTTTACATCGAAAGACAGCTTTGACATGTATAGGTTTGAACCCTGGCCTTTAAGTTCTTTAGGGAAGTATACATGTAAGGGACACTACTCCATACCCAAAATGTGATAACCTTGAATTATGTTGCTACAACTTTGATGAGAACAGTTGAGAGGTTCTCTGTATAAGAACGAAGGCCTTCAATACGACCTACCTTCACCTTTGACCCCTGAGCAATGACAGAATCATGATTATGGAATAGGGGTGAAACGGTATACCGCTATGTTTTGCCCTCGGGTTGGTATGCCGTAATGCAATAAAACAATTCGGTATTTTTGGTTTTAGTACCGCCGTTTTATTAACTTTTTACAACATTTCTGAAATGTCTATAAATCAAATCGATTTTTTCAAAATCTATGCATTTCTTTGCTAGACGGACGTTATTTTCCTGGAAGTAAGTTCTCATATACCGAACCAAATGAACTGAACCGAAGGCCTTGTACCGCAATATGTACCGTACCGTGGTAAGTGCATACCGTTTCACCCCTATTATGCAAGCGTGATCATCAGATACATTTGGACAACTTGTACAACCATTGCCAGAGAACAGGAAGCCTTTTAACAAAAGTCTGCCTCACAACCATTGCAGGAATGATATTTTGGTAAAAAAGAACTTTTTTCACAATGACAAAAACTTACATCACACTGTCATAAGAAATATACAAACATTCGAAAGATCATAAGGCAGCACATAAGCATAAGAGTGAGAGAGTGAGTGAGTTTAGTTTTACGCCGCACTCAGCAATATTCCAGCTATATGGTGACGGTCTGTAAATAATCAAGCCTGGACCAGACAATCCAGTGATCAACAGCATGAGCATCGATCTGCGCAATTGGGAACCAATAACATGTGTCAACCAAGTCAGCGAGCCTGACCACCCGATCCCATTAGTCGCCTCTTATGAAAAGCATGGGTTACTGAAGATTCATTTTAACCAGTACCTTCACGGGTATAAGCATAAGAAATTTAGACGGTACTAATAAAATGCATTTCACAAATAATTATTTTAAAACTATGTCTACTAACTGGTTAAAAAGTACCCAGAAGTTTGGATTCTTGGGAGTAAAATCCATGCAATACCTAAATGAAAAAGAGCAAAATGCATATAATCAGTGGTAATTATCTGTTTATTCGGCACAAAAGGCACAATAGCAGTGACAATGATGTGTTTGGATCACCGAAAATACTTAACACCAGGTGTTCGCAAAAAGGCATGTCATGCCATTAGGGGTGTCGCGATACGTGAATGTATCGATGCATCGATACATTTTTACTGACGATACGATACGCGATACATGCTTGCGTGTATTGATTCCTATTTTAAAACTTTTTCGATTCAAATTTTTATGCTATATCCATCTCCTTCAAAGTCTTGATAGTAAAATTATACGAGACCGCTCCGATAAATAGATGTAGCTAGCTTTACTTAAAAAATAGGTTGGAAACTAACAACTTTTGTGATTGGCTAGACTATTTTGATGGACCAATCAGCGAGCGCGTACGTTGCCGGTAAGGTAATGCTATGAAAAGGCGCAAAAATTACGTATCGCGATACGTATCGTATCGGGACCTTAAAATCGTGATACGTATCGTATCGTGAGATTGGTGTATCGTGACACCCCTACATGCCATACTGACAACACCTGTCACTCACACAATCAAAACCACCAAAACCCCAATGTGAATCAAATATGCAATATTAGTGAAGTATTATTACCATTATCAGGACTATTATGAACATGGAAACAGATTAAAATAGCTTCAAATGGAAGGCAACTTGATCAGTTTTAGATGAGGGAATGTCTAAGAGAATTCTAAATATTTCACAACACAGAATTTCAACCTTTCCATCCTTTTCTATCTGACCACCACAATTCCATGAAATTTCCTCTAATGAAACATTTGGGCATCTTTTGTATGGACGATAGTCTCATTTGGCTTCAACAGATTCATGTTGACATAATGCAGCTCGTAGCAACACGATCTCAACTTCTTTGTGTGGAGGGATTTATACTCTCCAAATGGGTTTTTTCTGTAATTAAACTTCCGGAAATTATGCTGCTCCAATTTCCGCAAAATTTGGTACATTCTAACAAAGTCTTCAGTACCAGTTGGTAAATCAATCTTGGAAACTTTGAACAGTTCTCGGGAATGCATTTCGAATCCAATCTGTTTGACATTCCTGAGAGATCCTTCTCCCAGCATTGCTTGTATCACTTTCCATTCCGAGTACTCGATGTCAAACTTTAGATAGTTGATATATGTCTGGAAAAAACAAAACAAAAGAACTTTCATGTTTGTCTATTTGTTTTTGAGCTCTTTACCAAGAATATGGTCTCCATGGGTCTCCATTCCACTGAGCGCAGAACCGGAAAAGATGCATTTTTGTTTGTATGCTCTTTGCACTCAGCAATATTCCAGCTTAATGGTGTGTAAATAATCGAGTCTGGACCAGACAATCCAGTGATCAACAGCATAAGATCAACGCACTAAGATACAATGATATGTGTCAACCAAGTCGGCGAGTCTGACCTTCTGATCCCGTTAGTCGCATCTGACAACAAGCATGGGGGTCTGAAGATCAATTCTAACCCGGATCTATGATTAATGCTATCAAATAGTATGTTATCAACTGCTTGGCTTGATATCAGTTTCTAGCTCTGAAAAGACTTTTCAACTACTGCGTCATAAAATGATGATTATGTTGGAAAATATCTTAACATACACTATGTAATGAGACAGTGGGGGATTTAAAGAAATATTCACACTTTAACATTTGGAAAACAGTAGCGATGAGGCAGTAAAGTGGATCGATGACACAGGTACACAGGTCATGCAAGTCTGACAATGTGAACTCTGGTGAATTGTTTAAGGATGGAAGGACCGACGTTAATGGCTGGAAGTTAAAATCTACTTTTTCAAGAGGCATGCCTATATACATCCTCGATAATCACTCTCCACTATACCCTGGATGCATCCACGGCTTGGCCCGATGATCTTATTACCTCCCTTGGCTGGCTTTTTATCCAATCAGGTGTTTACGCTGGGAAGTTGAGCGAACCAATCACAACTCACTTTTGCTTCTTAAATTATCTAACCGTTCAAACTTGGCAACACAACTGATGCAGAGGTACTCTGAAAGAGGTAGAAGGAGTTCTTTCATATATTTTTTTAAAATTTCAGATCTGTCAATTTGTCTGTATGATTTTTCCAAAAATATGAGTGGCACTGCGAACAAACTTTCGCGACCGCGACCGCTATCTTTGTTGACACTGGCAAGCTCAGATGTAACGACAGCTTATCTGATTGGCTACTGTGAGAATGTGGAGCCAGCAAAGGGAGGTAATTAAATCATCAGGCCAAGCCGTGAATGCATCCAGGGTATAGTGGAGAGTGATCGTAACGTATACCCTGGAGACTATCGAGGATGCCCTATATATTGACCCCTCTTGAATTGACAAGATAATTATATTCAGCAGAGCTACAGATAACTTTTTGGGTCACTGAGTTATGTACTCGCTTTTGTTCACCTCAATTGGGTATCCTAATTTTCCTTTGAGTAACCAAATAAATTGTACCCACCTCACTCAAACTCATTTGGGTATTTTGCCATTTTTCATTAATTGTCAAAATATAATAAAGTTTAAATGTTGGTTTATTTGTTTGCTGAAACAGAACCTCTCAATATACCTCAGTTGCTTTTTCTATCCTCAGTAACCTCGCATATAAGATCACATTTATTGAGTATTTACAAAAATTCAAGCATACTTGTACGCACTAGACTTAATTCCTGAGTTTTCACATAAATATTTGCGTTATTTACGCGGATACGCAGCTTATCTGTACCTCTGATTCAGACAAAAATAATCCACAAATATTGCAGCTCTCCAATTCCACATGGGGCACGGGCATCCCAGACACTAACAATTCGCATTCCTCAGGTATCCCAGAAAGTTATGACCCTTGGCGCTAATCTGGGTCCATCCGGATTTCGTTGCTAGGTTACCATATCTGGGTTCATGGGTTCCGACAAAATTTTCAAGAGCAATGACCTGCATCACTCCAGGCTTTAATCCTACATCAAACACAGTTGCAGGGAGTAATAAAAGGTGTCAAACTGTACTTATTCTCAGAGGTCTTTCTATGTGCAACAAATGTTTCATGTCGGAAAGCGCACATAGAATGTAAACAAAATCTTCATCATCGTATTATTCTTATTCTTGGGTTGGTCCTGGAAACACGTAGACCACTTTATCTGATTTCTTTGTTCTTGCTATTTAAGTTCTGTGAAAAAAGTATCAGATGTCGAGATACAATCCGATGCAGGAGAAGGCGTGGCAGAGGCAAGTGCCTCATCTAAACAGTGAGCTGACATGGTGACAGGACCAGTGGACTGTGCCACTGTAACTGGGGGTACTGAGACACGATGACAGGACCAGTGGACTGTGCCACTGTAACTGGGGGGTACTGAGACACGATGACAGGACCAGTGGACTGTGCCACTGTATCTGGGGGGTACTGAGACACGATGACAGGACCAGTGGACTGTGCCACTGTAACTGGGGGTACTGAGACCGATGACAGGACCAGTGGACTGTGCCACTGTAACTGGGGGTACTGAGACACGATGACAGGACCAGTGGACTGTGCCACTGTAACTGGGGGTACTGAGACACGATGACAGGACCAGTGGACTGTGCCACTGTATCTGGGGGGTACTGAGACACGATGACAGGACCAGTGGACTGTGCCACTGTAACTGGGGGGTACTGAGACACGATGACAGGACCAGTGGACTGTGCCACTGTAACTGGGGGGTACTGAGACACGATGACAGGACCAGTGGACTGTGCCACTGTAACTGGGGGGTACTGAGACACGATGACAGGACCAGTGGACTGTGCCACTGTATCTGGGGGGTACTGACCCACCGCCGAGGCCTCCGCTCTAACGATGGAATCAAAGTCAATGGGCTAGGATGCAGAAACATCTGAAGACGGATTCCAAGACACCGGAAGGATCGGTCTGGAAATAGAAGAAGACGTAGCCACAGACAATGCCGAAGACACGGGAGGCACAGTCGATCTAGTGTCGGGCATAGGAGGATGAAGCGACGAATCATAGTGGAGTGCCAAATATCCCAATGGTTGAGACAAAGGCGTAGCCTGAAGCGACGCACTGGACGTAAGTGCCGAACTAGTTGAAAGCGTCGCACTGAAATGTAGTCCAGATCCAACAAACGAAGGTGTACCAGTGGAAAACACCATAAAAACGGGAAGCAACGCTCTGGGAGGGAGCACCGAAACCCAATAGAGCTGGTGTATGAGACAGCTGAGTAGACTGAAGCGACAAACTCGGCTTGAAACCATAAGGCACCGGTGTTGTAACATGAAATCCTGCACTGGGTGGAAGCGTCGAACCATATGAAAGCGCCACTTTGGAAGAAAGCAGCACTCCATATGCAGAGTTACATAAGTGAGTGGTGCAGAAAGCGCCGCACGGCATACGAGGATAAGAGAACGGCGATTGGGGCAAAGCGCCGAACTGGATGGAAGTGGTGCATAGTTAGCAAGCGATGATCCAATCAGTGTGGTTGGGCATAGGAGGATGAAGCGACGAATCATAGTGGAGTGCCAAATATCCCAATGGTTGAGACAAAGGCGTAGCCTGAAGCGACGCACTGGACGTAAGTGCCGAACTAGTTGAAAGCGTCGCACTGAAATGTAGTCCAGATCCAACAAACGAAGGTGTACCAGTGGAAAACACCATAAAAACGGGAAGCAACGCTCTGGGAGGGAGCACCGAAACCCAATAGAGCTGGTGTATGAGACAGCTGAGTAGACTGAAGCGACACACTCGGCTTGAAACCATAAGGCACCGGTGTTGTAACATGAAATCCTGCACTGGGTGGAAGCGTCGAACCATATGAAAGCGCCACATTGGAAGAAAGCAGCACTCCATATGCAGAGTTACATAAGTGAGTGGTGCAGAAAGCGCTGCACGGCATACGAGGATAAGAGAACGGCGATTGGGGCAAAGCGCCGAACTGGATGGAAGTGGTGCATAGTTAGCAAGCGATGATCCAATCAGTGTGGTTGGGCATAGGAGGATGAAGCGACGAATCATAGTGGAGTGCCAAATATCCCAATGGTTGAGACAAAGGCGTAGCCTGAAGCGACGCACTGGACGTAAGTGCCGAACTAGTTGAAAGCGTCGCACTGAAATGTAGTCCAGATCCAACAAACGAAGGTGTACCAGTGGAAAACACCATAAAAACAGGAAGCAACGCTCTGGGAGGGAGCACCGAAACCCAATAAGGGGGTGTATGAGACAGCTGAGTAGACTGAAGCGACACACTCGGCTTGAAACCATAAGGCACCGGTGTTGTAACATGAAATCCTGCACTGGGTGGAAGCGTCGAACCATATGAAAGCGCCACATTGGAAGAAAGCAGCACTCCATATGCAGAGTTACATAAGTGAGTGGTGCAGAAAGCGCTGCACGGCATACGAGGATAAGAGAACGGCGATTGGGGCAAAGCGCCGAACTGGATGGAAGTGGTGCATAGTTAGCAAGCGATGATCCAATCAGTGTGGTTGAAAGTGCCAAACCAACTAAAAGCGCCGCATCGGGTGAACTCTCTGACTAAGCGCACACACTGCAGGCGTGGGAACCGTAACACCCACCCCAAGCGGCGCACTGGAAACAACCGGAGCACCCGCCGTAATGATGGGAGCCTGGGAAATCGTAACCAATGCAGAAGGCCTAGACTACGAGGGAGAAGTAGTTTAAACTCGGCCTCGGAGAATCGGCCTATTTAGTGACGGGACTCGAAGTTTGAGGGCGAAAATGTCGACGTAAATTTTCACTCAAATAGGAATCAGAAGTCGCCATCTGGTGATGGTTATTTAGATTGTCTAACTGCCACTTTAGAACGGCGGTCCGTCTTAGCATGTTTGGAAGAGGAAGGACCCTCAGATGGCCTCCAACACTCTCTATCCGCCATTCTTCTAGATCCAACCCGTCGATATGCCGAAAATTCATCGGCATCTGGGTGAGCACGATGTGAACAACAGCGCAACCAGTCCCACCAGCCTATACCATCCACATAAAGAATGTGGATCGGCGACTGAAAAGTTGCTCTTACATTTGTCACAGTGTTTCCGTTTTCTTGTGGAACTTCAATTATATTTACCCATGATGAAACAATAAAATACTGTGTCCAACTGAGGGAACAGCACATGTCCACTCGGTGTAGCAACAAGAAAGAGAATGATGTCATGTGATCATCTGAGCAATGTGCACGCTTATAGAGATGATTGACAGGTCCTGCTATCGGAGTGGATCAGAGGTCAGGTGGTACAGAGGCCAGATCTGATTCAACTTAGCCTAAAGCTAAGTTTCTACATATGGGTCATAGAAGAAAAGAGAGGCACATACCATGAGATAGGATAAGTTTAAAATATATGTTTCCATCTGTTTCACACATAAACCTAAGCAGGGAAAATCAAATTGGCAATGTGCGTAAATTCTGGTGTCCAATACCTTTGAGGAACTGCGGACTTACATTCTGGTGTCTATTGTCTTTGAGGAATTGGGCCAGAGTCTTCATCTGCCAACCTGCAGGAGTTTCAAAGTTCTTGGGTGCAATGCCCAGCTCCTGGAACTGAATCAAGGCGCTTCGGTTGTGGGCGCGGGTGTTGATGCTGAAAAAACATAATGCACATAAAATAACATCAGGCATGGTCATCATCACCACATGTCATTATCATCATCATCATCATCACCACAAGTCATCATCACCATATGCCATCATCATCATCATCATCACCACATGTCACCACCACCACTATCATCATCATAACCACCATCATCATCATCGAAACCACCATCATCATCATCACCACCACCACTATCATCATCATCAACCAAACCACCATCATCATCATCATCATAACCACCATAATCATCACCACCAGTCATCATCATCATCACATGTCTCCATCACCACCATCATCAGCACGTCACCATCACCATCATCATCACATGTCTCCATCATCATCACCATCATCATCATCGGGGCAGTGGGGTAGCCTAGTGGTTAAAGCGTTCGCTCGTCACGTCGAAAACCTGGGTTTGATTCCCCACATGGGTACAATGTGTGAAGCCCCCCCGATATTGCTGGAATATTGCTAAAAGCGGCGTAAAACCATGCTCACTCACTCAATCATCATCATCATCAAAGCGAAAGACATCTTCAACACCTCTGTGTATTACCTGGGATCATATGCCAGCACTCGACATCCATATATCTTAGAGACGGCATCATCAAACTGCCAGTCCGTGCCGATGCTGGAAGAGATGAGAGAATCAGAATATCAGTAGCATATTAACAAACGGAAAGTTTCAAGGGCTCTTTTGTGTCCACAGAATCATGTAGATTTACAACATGAGCAAAAGATGCCAGATGGTCTTCTGTATATGACACTATTTCCTACTGAACACTTAAATGCATTTCTACTTAAAACACCAAGTGAAGAGACAAGACTAAACATATCAAAATGGCTGACTTTCAGGTGTTTTCAGGGAGCATATCTCTAATATTTGAACAAGAGCAAATCAATGATCCACAGTGACATTCTCAAATGTAGACACAATTAGTCCTAATGTAAAAACACAGTACTGACTAGTGTTGGGAATCTGAAACCAAATCCACTCGATTATCTGAGGACTTGTGGTGAATGAGTATCGATTATAATCGAAATATATACATTTTTAATGTAATCACCAATTTTAAGCGTTTTCCCCGAGGCAATTTCTAATTAATGTTTTTTATACTAATACTGTCATGCAATGAAATGCACACATGCAAGAAAGACACTGGAATTGTAAAGTGGTTAAATGTTTACAATGCTTACAATGATTCTTGTGTCCACATGGCAGTGAGTGAGTGAGTTTAGTTTTACGCCACAATATTCCCGATATGAGTCTAAACCAGACAATACAGTGATCAACAACACGAGCATCGATCCACACGACTGGGATACGATGATGTGTCAACCAAGTCAGTGAGCCTGACCACATGATCCTGTTAGTCGTCCCTTACAACAAGCATGGCTTACTGAAGATCAATTCTAACCCGGACCTTCACGGGTCTCGTTTCTTGAAGGTTGATACTGAAGTAAGTGCAATAATTATGTCGATACACTCAGATATTGACACACACGTCCGTTAACATGAGTTGCTGAAGATCAATTCTAACCCTGATCTTCGCAAGTCACGCCACATGGTAGATTTTAAAGAAATTCCACATTTAGTCATTCTCTCACCCACTAACTCAATCAAGCAAAGGCGTACATAAACACGGGTGTTTGAGGCCCATTGGAGTTGCACAGTTGATACAGCCTCGGTAACTGATAGTGCTGCTCAATATAACCGGTTTACCGGTATTTACCAGTTCAGACATGAAAACGATACGCATTGCGATATGCTGATCGAAAACCGGTTCTTTGACATGCATTCAGAAAACTTCGTAACACTCGGATATCTTCGGATATTTCCGTTTTTTAAGTTGTTCCTTTCCTTTTTTTATTTGTGAAGAATTTTATTTACATTTGTTTTTTGTCATGATTAAAAGTTTTTATTAAATCTTACTCAAGCATAGTGATTTTGTTGTGTTTTTACCCTATAAATCAAGCATTAACTCGATTATACGTAGTTTTTTGTTGGAAAAAACCTTCTTGCAATGTATTGCAATACATATCGCAATATATGCTTTTGCATCGCAATATATCGCAATATAAAAATTCTCTGCAATACCCACCCCTCGGTAACTGATCACCAAAATGAGTACACCACATATAGCTGTAACAGCTTTTCCGCTGGCATTTTGTACAGCAGGAGATTGTGACCGGCTAGCATTTCATATACAGGTTATTTGTAAATTCTTACCGGTCAAGTGATCACGCTTTTTATTGTGTGCGAGACCTTGTACCCAATAACAAATCAGAAAAGTAGACGGTATCACAATGCGTCAATACTGCTATATTTAGCCTTGGGTTTTCCAAAACTGCTATTTTTTATTTGACAACACCTCGATGTCATTGTGGAAACGTTATCTTTTTCAAGGAGAAACAAAATTGACAGAGGTAATTAGAAAATTTATTTTAAAATTTGCCTGACACGATGACCGACAGCCTTTGAAATTACCGGACATTCTAACTTTATACTGGTCAAAGTCCGGTATATACCAGATAATGGAAACACTGATTGTAGTAGCCCCATATTAGGAGTTTTACAGACATTCTAGCCTCACTGACTCACCCAAAGGAGTACACCAGACACGGTTGTACCAGCCCCATTGGAGGAGACATGCAGACATTCCAACCTCCGTCATGCTGGTGTCCAAGGCGCTGATCGTTGTTACACTTCACGTCTTTGTTCTCCAGGAACCTGCAACCCAAAACAATGTTGTCGTCACACGACATCGTCACATCACTGATCATAAAAAATTGCTTATATATCAGTGCTCCTGAATCAATTTTGAGACAAAATCAACAGGTTTAAATGCAATTTTTCTAATCTGTTTCAGAACCTGTAACTTTTTATCAACATTTTATCAACATTTTCTTATGTTTGGATATCACAGGATTTTGGCAATTATGCTATATTTATGCATACCTTTTCGACACGCTGTAAGGATATACAATTCCAGGATTGGCACGGTAGGTTATCGGGAAGGAGTGATTTCTCCTTTATTCTAGCATTAAATGTTTGCTAGACACTGAACGATATGTCGTAGAACTGTTTAGTCATAAAGATTTATTACGAATATTTTGTAAAGTTAGATTCCAGTCACACAAATTAAAGATTTGTAAATTAAAGTATGATAATGATATTGATACCGACCAACTTTTATGCTCTAATTGTACTATGAGTGTTGTAGAAGATGAGCATCACTTTGTATTAGTTTGTCCATATTAGAAGCATCTAAGAGAGCAACTAATCTCTCCTTATTATTTCACGTGTCCTACAAGGGTAAAAATGTATCAGCTGGTAACGTCTAACAATCCCGAAAAAATCTGTCAAATACTTGAAACGAAATCTGCCAACTTGAGCTGTCATGCATATGATATTGAAATGTACTTTCATGTGCTTTTGGCCATGAGGCCTTATCACAGAATAAACTTGTCACATTTTATCAACAAGCTTAAACAAAATTCAAAAATCAAACTCGATTGTTTTGTTAAATGAAAATTGTAAATACAAAAATCTAATTAAAAAATTAGTTCAGTTAGATTCATTAAGTGCGCTCATATCATTTCAAATACTAGAAGTAAACATTTCTTCCATTTCCTTAATGAAAACAACTTATTTTCAACATATCTGGCTTTGGTATAAGTGGAGGTAAATGTGTCTAACTGTGACAAATTATCTCCCTTTGACCATCAATGACCCCACTGTATTCTCCTGCAAACAGTGGAAAGGTTTATCCTTCTCAAGTTTGGGTGATTAAAACTACTGAAAAACAGATTGCTGGATTAAAAATTATCTACACACCTTGTATGAAATTGACAAATGTGCTGCCTTTTCACACTACAACTATGGTAAATTCTTCACCTTTTGGTCATCTTGCCATAACCTCTTCACATAAATTGCAACAACAAATGTATTCCTATAGCCTACGGATTATCTACCACCCATGTCCTTGTTTTATAATATTTACATGTACCACAAATGCATAAATTATGTACCCATTACAAAGAAATAAAGTGTTAAAAAATTTTTTAAAAAAAATACTGAAAAACATTAAAAACTGACACTTATTGAATGCTTAATATTTTGTTTAAGGACTTTACTCCGACTCCCTTGCCAAGATTATTTAACAGTACAGATTAACAGGGGTTCCCTCAAAACTAGCCAGATCAAGAAGATACGGGTTAAAAGTGGTTTTCAGCAATCCATGTTTGAAAGAGGCTACTGACGGGATCCAGTGGTCAGACTCTCTGACTTGTTTGACACATGTGTGACTGTATTCCAATTGCGTAGATCGAAGCTCATGCTGGATTGGTCCAGACTCGACTATTTACAGACCGCCGCCATATAGCTGAGATATTGGTGAGTGAGGCAACAAACAAACAAACAAATGAAAGCTATGGTCCGTTTGGCTCAAAAGCGGACCGATGAATTGCAATCTAACTCGAAAACTAATAAACATAAAATACTCAATGAAACGCTGATCATAATCAAAACATCATACCCACTCTTGTTAGAGAAGCACGTGCACCAGTGCCGACAAAGTTATTGATTCATTAACCTGTGCTGTGACGTCTCCATCCTTTCTCGAACACCTGGCTGTCCCTTTCTCTGCACTCCTCCCTCGTAACAAATAGTGAACTGTGTCAATATTTTAATGATAGATTGTTAAACAACTTTTTTATTTTCAGGACAAAAATTCTGAAAAAAACTCACCGAGTGGGTATGATGTTTTGATTATGATCAGCATTTCATTGAGTATTTTATGTTTATTAGTTTTCGAGTTAGATTGCAATTCACCGGTCTGCTTTTGAGCCAAACGGACTATAGTCCATTAGGATTCCAGGTTAGAGTGAGTGAGTTTAGTTTTACGCCACACTCAGCAATATTCCAGCTATATGGCGGCAGTCTGTAAATAATCGAGTCTGGACCAGACAATCCAGTGATCAACAGCATGAGCATCGATCTATGCAATTGGGAACCGATGACATATGTCAGCCAAGTCAGCGAGCCTGACCACCCAATCCCGTTAGTAGACAAGCATGGGTCACTGAAGGCACATTCTGACCTGGACCTTCACGGGTTCCAGGTTAGAGAAAGTCCCAAGCAATCAATGTGTCTTGCAGAGGTTATCATATGGATCTGGGCATTGTAATTATTTTTTTGTTTTACAGATTAAAGATAATATGCAGCAGAGAGGGTTCGGGTGATCCCGGCACAGTCAGGCTGGTAAGGCTCATCATCAGCTCAGAGCCCTTACACGCAGCCCAGACAGCGAATGGGACTTCTCCCAGGAAACGCTGCCTAGTCGAACCCTCCAAGAACTTTCCGGAGAATATGTAGACTCCCCAACACTGCAGCCTTCTGCATTACCAAGAGTGTCAGAAGGGCTGTGCTCCCGGTGGAGAACCCGGGCACTCTCCTGATCTGCGCCAAGAGATCAGGAGGTACCAAAACCAAGGGCACCGAGAACAATGGGGAGCCTGACGACAGTGTACTTGGGATGCAAGCTAGACATTTCAAAGGCGAGGTCCGCATATTTAGCATGATTCTCCTGAATCTTGCCAATCATATTGCTGTCAAAAGGGACAGAAAATTCAATGATATACCGGTAGATAAATTCATTATTATCATTATCATTCTTCATAGTAAGTGGGATTCAAACCCATGATCAGCAGATCCTGCCGCATGAAATGTTTGGTCAAAATAATAATCAGACAATCCAGTAATTGACATTATGAGCAGACAGGGAGTGTTTTACCTCACAAACCATTGCATCCTATGTGGATGCAATCTGAGAATGAATCAAAATAATTCACAATAAAAAAAGTCCAGGGATAGAAATACTTTTTTTTCTAAGTGTGCCTTAGGGCACCAGACAAATATTTTGGGTGTGCCATTCAGAAATTGAGTGTGCCCACATGTTTTTAGAATAAATGACAATGATGATGATCATTTGAAATTTACTGTTAAATAAAGAAATGGGTTTATGAGCATTCAGATATGTATGGTATTATTCAATTTGGAAAAAAATAATTGTTTGGGGGATTAAATGACTAAATGTGAGTTATGTCTCTAAAACATGAGGTGTCTAAAAAGGGCACCGAGAACATTTTTTATCCGTGCCATTTCAATATTTACCGTGCCATGGCACACTAATATATGGGGTATTTCGAACCCTGAAGTCTTTTCTACAAAGGAAGTTTGAAGTGATTTGGACCAGAAAGAGTTATGGCCCTTTGACTGACTGACTGACTGAGTTTGGTTTTATGTCGCTTTTAGCAATATTCCAGCAACATCACGGCAGGGGACACCAGAAATGGGCTTCACACAGTGTACCCATGTGGGGATTCAAACCCGGGTCTTCGGCGTGACGAGCCAACGCTTTAACCATTAGGCTACCCCACCGCCCCATGGCCCTTTGATATGATATATCCATTTGCAACATATCTGGTGAAACAAATACATTTGAAAACAAGTTCATCTTTTTGACTGCCAACAAAATCAGATTTAGTAATCAAGGTATTTTGCAAAATCTCAACATGGCATCTTTGGTTCAATCCCTGACAAGATCTCAAGGGCACAGCGACAGTACACACGGCTCACTTGAAAAGAGGACTCATTTACTCAATATAGTTGCTTTGGTTTGAGAGTAGACACAGTCTGAAGGTCAAGGTGACAGAGCACACATTTCACCGGAAGATAGCACTCATTTTACAACAAAAAAATATTCACATGAATGGTGGGTTTGAGAGCAGACACAGTCTGTAGGTCAAGATGACAGTGCACACATTTCACCGGAAGAAAGTGCTTGTTTTACTCAACAGAAACTCCATATAAATGGAAGGTTTGAGAGTATACATTGCCTGATGGTCAAGCCAAGGTGACAGTCCACATAACGTACTTGAAGAAGTTCTCTTCAGCCTCAGCGTGGGACATGTCGGGGGACACCAGGATGGGGGGCATCTCTTTCACATGGATCTGGGGCACCAGGATGGGGATCGGCCTCAGCGGCTGAAACACAACCAGGCGACATACTCAACCAGGGCTCCAGATAAGGGCCTTATCGGCGTATGTACAGATATAAAATAAGTATGATACGGTAGGAAAACATAGCAGATACGCACCACAACAATGGTGTACAGTCTTAGAATCATTTACAGACGTATTTATCTGAAAAAGCATTGTTTTATTGTTTATTGACCTGTTTACACAAGAGTAGCAATGTTGTGGTGCATATATGAAACGAAACACAAGATTACTGATACTCCATTAAATTCCATTCAGTACTCTAAATGTACTCTTATTGTTTTCCAGGCCTCCTATACTGAAAAAATAAGGAGTAGTCAGTGCTTTACTGAAAAAATAAGGAGTACGTACTTCTGATCATGAAAAATTATCTGGAACCCTGCTCAACATCATGCGAACAGCAAGCAGACAAAATACCACGTACAGACATAGGTAGCATCAACAATACACACCCTTTTCTTCATCCCATAATAATGCAGCAGTGAGTGAGTTTAGTTTTACAACGCTTTTAGCAATATTCCAGCAATAAGACCAGAAATGGTGTACCCATGCAGGGGAATCGAACCCTGGTCTTCGGCGTGATGAACGAACGCTTTAACCACTAGGCTACCCTATCGCCCCTTTTGCAGCAGTCATGTGTGTGGCTGGAGTTAGATCACAAAATGAGGACATTCATTGCAATTAAGTATGCTTTTGCAATTTCCAGCATTATCGTAACATTGGTCACCAGAAACTAGTGTGGCGTCAGGGACTGAAACAGGCAAAACATTCAACATCATGCCAAAGAGGCATAGAAAATACCAGATGTGTAGATGAGTGAGTGAGTGAGTTTAGTTTTATGCCGCACTCAGCAATACTCCAGCTACAGTATATGGTGGCGGTCTGTAAATAATCAAGTCTTGACCAGACAATCCAGTGATTGTTTGCATCAGGTAATGTGAATGCAGCAATGACATGTTTGGCTGGAGTTAGAGGATGAAATGAGGAGATTCATTGTGATTAAGTATGTATTTAAACCGACTTTTGCAACATTCTGGCAACATCATGACATTGGACACCAGAAATGGAGAGGCTTACGAATGTCGTAGCACTACGAACGGTTTGTTGATCGGGACCCAGGAACTTACAGACACAATGCGGAGATACGACCCCAGTCAAAACTGCCGAGCCAATAAGAAGAATAAAGCAACAATAACATTCATCAGTGCGCTTATCCACGTTTGTTTGCACCTAATCTATTTCAAAATCGTGTAATCATTTTCAATTAACAAACAGTTATGGGTGCCCATTTTCTTTACAACTATCAGTGAACATACCCTCTCTGTGCTCCTCGGTAATCCAATTGGCCAAACATCAAAATCATTTTTATGTCGATGTCTGCCTGGTGTGTTCTGCTGTCCCCTGAGAAGGACGTAGTACACCCCTATGAACACTACTGTCCCAAACAGCAGGTAAATCAGCAAACGGCGCCGCCGTCGTACACACATCACTGGAACCTCCACAGCCAGATCTCTTCACTTTAAGTTACACTGAAAAATATAAGTGAAAGAATGAAAGGTGTTTCCCGATGCTTAAACACAGTCTGGTATATCTTTTATAAACCAGTGTATGATACAATAAGGCCACTCTTTTTTATTACTTGGTTTACAGATATTTTACAGCAATATTCCTGTTCTTTAGGTGGTAAAAAGAAAATATGCTATTTCAGATAGCCTACTATGAGAGGATTTAAAAAAAACAATCACTTTCACTCGGTAAAGTTAATTCGTCGAATTTATTTGTTTCAACATTTAAAATTTTGTTTTGCGCTGCTGCTAAAGTCGTTTTGGAAAGTCGATTTCAATAAAGTAGATTTTTAAAATATTTATATGGATTTTATTTATCGGCAGTATTTAAAAAAGGACAAAATTGACTTTATTTTTCTTTTCCACTTCAACAAAAATTACAGTCCGCGGATCCGTAAACCAAGTAATGAAAAAAGTGTAACCTAAAGTATGTTTATAAGGAACATGATTTGGAGACCATGATTTTAACAAATAAATGCATGAACTCAAATCAACAGTACTCGAATCTGTACTTTACTGAGAATTTGTAATCCCAAATAGGACGTTACAATTTACATTATAGAAGGCACTCATAGCTTTCATCCATGGGATCCGTGGCAAGTTACACTGGTGTGACGGGTAGACCACAAGGCCTGTAATGCAAGGAACTGACATATAGTTTATATACTGCTAAGACCTTGTCAGTGACAATATACCTTAATGTCACTTTTTTGGTCCCCAGATTTTTTAGTTGTAAGTGCTGTGGGATTGACAAAGTATGTGATCGAGAGTACCAGTTGTCAGACTTCCATTTCATTGGAAATACCGGCAGGGCTACAGAGAAGGGGCGTACAGGCGTAATGTACACCTCAAAATCAATTAAGTACGACATAATATAAGATTTCAAGCGTATCGTGTACGCACATAAATACCTTTGTACGTCTAACATTTAATTTCCGTGCGTATCGTGCAAATGGAAATCTATTTCGGATAAATACTTGTCAAGTTTCTTTTGCGAAACCCGATTTGACACATGAGGAAACCCCGACAATAGGAATCCCTTGCGTTGCCATGCAACGATATGCGTCACTATTTTTCGATTGGCTAAAAACTACACTGTTTCTATTTATATCCAGTCGGACCTGACATTTCGCGCATCACACGGTCGCTCAGTTATTTCTCATGCGTCTTCAAATACAAATACATGGTTGGAAATAGTGATTGATGAATCGTCCAGACAAACCACATCACCAACTCGCTCACACAAAAACATGTCAGTACTCCTTCAAAATTCTCAGTACACCTCCACTTGCAATATGATGTGTAAGTACACTCGCACCCCCAAAAGTTATCTGGAGCCCTGACCGGTGGCTCAGTTGGACCAATCCCTGACTTACGCCGGCGGTTAGGTGCCTCACTAGTCTGTCTCACACTGTCACAGTCCCTGAATCATATTATTTTCCCTACTGTCTAGCCCTCCCTGCAATGCTAAAGCCCTGAATTAAGCAAGTCTAGATTTCCCCAGGTTCAGGGTCTTTGAATCTCTCACCTCACTGGGGCTCGTGTTCAATAAAAAATGGGACTATTTGTTACAATCAAAATTATATATATATATTCAGGGACTAAGCGTTAGTCGAGTGCCTCAGTATCAGAGTATGGGTTTAAAAACATTACAGGAATCTGTGCTCTACTAAGAACATGTAATGCGAAATATAACACGTCACATTAGACCAAGTGATTCGATTTTAAAAAAGATATATAACTTCAAAGAAGACAGTCACATTTCTCTCACAGATACACATCACACTCCGGCACAGCTATGACTTAACATAACATCACTGCCACAGGCTAATTTGCATATCACGTGACCGGACTTTTCTCTTGTTTGTAATCAAACGCGCATATTCATAATAAGAAGAGACTGGACTCACGAAAGCTTTTCGGCTCTCTCTTCATAATGTTTTACATTGTTACATATATATTCTTCCACAACTGCGACAGTAAGGTCTATGACAGTACATATTTAGATATCAAACTGGCGGCATCGTTTGCACTCCATCAGCTTCGATGACAGCACGTGGAGCCGTACAACCTATGTAAACAAAGGATCGCTACACAAATCGAAATAGTGTTACATGTTTTGGGATATTTTCTCAGTGAAACTAAACCATTCTATTAAAGATGTTTAGTTAGATGTGTAGACTCGTCAAAAATAAAAGAGTAAAAGAAATCTGTACATTATATTGAATGCATTGTGCAAGATGTGACGAATCGTCACATTTTTCTGGCCTGTGGCAGAGGTACCAGGGATAGAAATACTTTTTTTTCTAAGTGTGCCTTAGGGCATCAGACAAACATTTTAGATGTGCCTTTCAGAAACCAAGTGTGCCCACGTTTTTAGAATAAATGACTGTAGCAGTGATGATGATCATTTGAAATTATTGTTAGTAAACAACAAATGCAACCTGTTTTCACTGATATGTCTTCTGTTTAAGATGGCTTTTTTAAGCTTCATTTGTTCTGCTTTCACAACACCTTTAATAGCTAAGACTTTTGTGACAGGTTCACTTGTTCAATATATCTAACATACACAATTTCTCTTCAATAACATAACTATCAGTACTCCCATCACTCTACATGGAAAAACAATCAGATTTCTTTACATCATCCATCATATTTCCAGTGATTTCCTGGGCGATAAAGTCAATAAATGTTTTTACTTATTTGTCATTTGCGTAAGTGTTTTGTTTTGGGGATTAAATGACTAAACGTGAGTTATGTCTCTACAAAATTAGGTGTGCCATAAGGGCACCGAGAACATTTTTTATCCGTTCCAGTTCAAAATTTACTGTGCAATGGCACGCTAATACATGGCGTATTTCGAACCCTGGGTACTATGCTGGAACTCTGGGTAGGAGAGTGAGATACACATATCAGCTGTTGTCAACAATGTTATCACCCAAATACATATTTACGCTTACATTACATAAGAGCTACGATTCCCAGACAAACACACATGATATAACTATTGAACATTAATCGTTGTCATTCACATCTAACGAATATTGGCTTTGATTTGATCACCTTTTCAGCATTCGAATTAATCCCGCTTCCGCGTTGCCAATTCTTCTCTCACTTCGCGAGAGCAATAATGGGAAGCAACTCTTGAACGTGCAGACCACGTAGAATATTTTCATGAAACACCCTTCAGACATGCAACGAACTTATTTCGGCGTGTCCAGTCCGGATTAGTGGTTACAATCATTAACTATGAAATATGATGTGAAAAATGAGTCATTTCAATATATATAGTGCGTGTGTCAGCTTATGTTTAATATCAGGATGGAAGGGGCTTAATCGTTTGTTCATAAGGTCCAAGCTCAATGTGACACCGGGGCAATGGGTAGCCTTAAAAAAAGTAATGCCGGAAATGCTTGGAAAATGCTTTTTGGCTTCAAAATCAATATGATGAATTTGACACAAGATAAAAGCACATATATGATACATGTACGACTCTACCTAGTTGGATATTAAAGCTCAGATGAAAAAATGCACTTGAGGGGTGACTTCACAGGAGGAAATCTTGACGTTTTAACAACATTCGTAAATATTCGAAGTACAAACTGTAGTTTTGAAATACAGACTTTAATTATTCATATAGGCTCAACAAATCAAATTGCATAAATGATTGTAAAAGTTTGGTTTTTTTAACATCTATATGTGAAAAAGATGGAACTCTTGTAGTAGTTATATATTCAAAATAATTACGTAAAAAAGTCTTAATTCAAATCGCATAGATAATCTTGTTCACCCATAGAAGTTTCATTTCGTGTATGAGCACTGAACTGGCAACATGCGACTTTATATCTCTTCAGAACAATTAATTTCAAATTTATACCAGTATTTCATACTGGAGAAACAAAGGGGAAACCTCTCGTCAGCTATGACAGGGTTTACTATAGAATGTGTAAATCCCTTGACATATAGTCAGGTTTACAAAGTTGTACACAAATTAGTTACCTAAGGGGTCGTGTCAAAATCAAAACCAGGCTGGAAACACAAACTGGATAGCTTTGATAAGGGTGTCATACGCCGTGCAGTTTATAAACTGTATGAACGCAAAATACCACCGACGTGTGCTAAAATACAAGATGAGATCAAAGATACAATAAATGTCTCGAAAACAACACTTGTTGTAGCTCTGGTAGAAATGGGGTTCAGGTACACCAAAAGGGGAGATGACAGAGCTGTAAAGTACTCAATCCTGTCCATGCGATCAGCTTATCTCAGAACAGTTGAAGAATACCGCAATTTGGGGTTTCAAATTATATACCTTGATGGAACCTGGTGTAAAAAATCACTCAACCGATCGGATGTGGCTTCCTTTAGATTGTTCTAAGGCACCAGTGTTACCATCAGGCAAAGGTAGACGCCTGATCATCTTGCATGCTGGTACCCACAGCAAAGGGACTGATTGGGGGTTGTGACTTTGTTTTTCAGGCCAAGAAATCTGATGGTGATTACCATAGGTATTTTTGGATTGGTTCGAACATCAGCTTTTACCGCAGCTGGACGAACCAAGCGTTATCATTTTAGATAACGCCAGTTACCATAACCTGCGTGTCCCTGGTACCATCACACCCACCATGAGCAATCTCCAGGCTCCGTTGCAGGATTTTCTCACTTCCTGTAACGTGCCTTACGGGCAATCAGAAACAAAGCCCCAGATCATGGAAACAATCCGGCAGCACAAAAAGCCAATCCAGTACATCACTGACGAACTAGCTGCAAAACATAGTTCTGCGTACACCAGTACGGCACTGTGAGCTCAATTCCATCGAGCTCATCTGGGGTAACTGTAAGAGTTTTATTGCTCGCAATAATACCACACTCAAGCTTTCAGACGTTAAAGAGCTTGTGTAAGCTTCTTTTGCGAGAATTACCCCAGAAGTGTGGTAAAAGGCTGAAGACCCTGTTCTCAAAATCGAGGACGAATACCGTCCGCGGGAGGGCGTTAATGTCAGCCGAGTTGCACCTGTTGTACACAGTACAACCAGAAATTATTGAGAATTTAAACATTGTTTATTTTTTCACTCATTACTCACGTATTAAATGTGAATATTAGCAGAACATAACTCCAGATTCAAAGACAGGTGAACAGTTAGTATTTTGTCAAGTCACCATGGGCAGCAATGCAGGCTTCAATGCGGCGGGGCATACTACTGATCAAAGAAGTTAGAAAGTCGTGGTCCATGCGAGAATTATTTGTTAGCCCATAAACATTTTCTAGAAGTGTAGCGTGGAAAAAACCAGGCCTGTGGAACGATGAAAAATACCACGTGATGGAAGTAAATGTCCCTCGAGAATCTCCACCCCACCACGTTAAAATTTCGGACTGTACTTTTGGCGTTGAAAATTTCAGTTTGACTGGACGAATACCGTCTGCGAATACTAAGCCACCTCCTGTCACCGAGGGCCCCCTGGTGCGCCATTAATCGTCTGATCTGATGTCCGATAATGCTCTAAAATCAACTTCCTCTTCTCTAAATCATCCATACTGAGGATTGAAAACACTCTCTCCAAGCACTTGATAGCTGTGGTAATTCCGCTAGAGTCCTCGACCAGCAGTGATACTGACACTTGATATTTTGAGACGGTCCCTGACATGTACTGCCCGTGCGTTACATGAACGCTGTCTGCCCCCAGGTGGGTCACAGTATAGTTTGTTTCATTGAAGTGTTTCTACCATGGAAGTTTTCGATATTTTACGAGTAATCATTATGATTAGGCAATGGTCCACCGTGATTACTCATATGCCATATTAGATCGAGATAGTATGAATGATTATATATGAGTTTTGAATCTGAAATATCAACCATTATCAAATAATTGCCAAAAAGCATTTTCCAAGCATTTCTGGCATTACTTTCTTTTTCAGTTAAAGCGCTCGTCACGCCGAAGACCCGAGTTCGATTCCCCACATGGGTACAATTTGTGAAGCCCATTTCTGGTGTCCCCTGCTGTGATATTGTTGGAAGGTTGCTAAAAGTGGCGTAAATCTAAACTCACTCACTCAATGTGAAACCTATTTCTGGTATCCCTGCTTTGATATTTGTCAAGGCTGTTTATACCGTATCCACGCAACGTTTGGAAAAAGATCGAAATGACGCTTTGGCCTTTAATACAGTGAACTACGTTTCAAACGAACACATGGATATATCGAACTGTCACTTTATTTGGTTTCATCAACCTGCTGTATTTTTTGGTCGAAAAGCGTCCAACGAACTTCGGTTATAACGAATTACAATTAGTAGTCCCTTTCAGGTCGCTATAACCGTAGTTTACTAAACTTTGGTATGTAGTCGCTTTGGTGTTAAACGCTGCGCTCAGGCGCGAAGCAAGTCATTTTGTTCGTGTAAGCCCGATAGGTTCGAAAGCTTTATTTAGATAGTATTGAGGACTTGCCCAATCTTTTTAGCAACAATCATGTGTAAGCCCGGGCTTTTTCTTATAATGGTAACTACGCCCCTGGAAGCATTTGGAGACTGAGCTATGGAGGAAACCCCGTGAAGATCCAGGTTAGAAATGACCTTCAGCAACAAAGGCGACAAGCGGGATCGGGTGGTCAGACTCGCTCCCAGTTGTAGATCCATGATCTTGGTGTCTGTCCCTGAATAATAGAATGAAGGCTCTATTGTTTACAGACCGCCATCATATAAATTTAGTTTGCTAAAATCTTTATATATATTGTTATGGGTGATGATGCATATTTAAAAATGTAATGTGCACTTTTATTTATTGATGAGTATACTTGGTGCAGTTATACCAAGCTTGAGTGAGTTTTGTTTTACGCCGCTGTTAGCAATATTCCAGCAATATCACGGCGGGGTACACCAGAAACGGGCTTCACACATTGTACCCATTTGGGGAATCGAACCAGGGTATTTGATGTGACAAGCAAACAGTAGTATACACAATGGGGCTACGGGACCAGGTCACCCCAAGGGCTCAATTCTTTTAAAAATTGAGCCCTTGGGAAGTCCCTAATCCTGTAGCCCCATTGTGTATACTACTACTGAGTTGCATGCAAAATTTGATGAAAATCGGTCGAATAGTGTCTGAAATATTGACTGTTAAGTGAGCATGGGCCCGATAGGTTCAAAAGCTTTATTTAGATAGTATTGAGGGCTTGCCCAACCTTTTTATCAACAATTATGAGTAAGCCTGGGCTTTTCTTGTAATGGTAGCTACGCCCCTGACTGCTGCCTGTCGAAACAGTGAGTTTGGAGCACAGATTCCATTTACCGATATTGAAAACAAGCATCTACGCCTTCCAGGTACGAATTCGAAGAGTGAGTGAGTATGGTTTTACGCCACTTTTATCAATATTCTAGCAATATAACGACGGGGGACACCAGAAATGGGCTTCACACATTGCACCCAATTGGGATTTGAACCCGAGTCTTTGGCGTGGCGAGCCAACGCTTTAACCACTAAGCTACCTCACCACCCCTCCAGGTACGAAGGCCCGCCATCAACCTATTTGCACTTGACCGAGCTTTGACAACCCTTTTCATTTAGTCAAAGATTACAGGACAAATTCTAGCTCTGGATCCCCCAGAATGAAATATCTCAAAACACACTTGAGTGAGTGAGTGAGTTTGGTTTTACGCCGCTTTGAGCAATATTCCAGCAATATCACGGCGGGGGACACCAGAAATGAGCTTCACACAATGTACCCATGTGGGGATTCGAACCCGAGTCTTTGGCGTGACGAGCGAACGCTTTAACCACTAGGCTACCCCACCGCCCCAAAACACACTTGAACTGTTGACAGGCAGGTATCAAGAGTGCGTGAGTGAGTGAGTTTAGTTTTACGCTGCACTCAGCAATATTCCAATTTCAATTCTTTGACTCAATTTTACTTTTTGGACCAGACAATCCAATGATTGACATCACGACCACCAATCTGGACCACAATGGGCTCTAACATTTTTAGGACATGCTCACTGCCAATAGCTGCAAACTTATACCCCCATTTCACTGAGTGGCGAAATGGAAGGATCGTCGCGGATGTGTGCGGAATGGAGTCTACGGATAGTCTTCGGCATTTTTGCAGGGAAAATTGATTAAAATCCTACGGAAA